GCTTTACCCCGAGCTCATTTTTCCATATTTGCCGAATGGAATATTGTGATATGTTCAGCTCACGAGCCATTTTTTCAGGCACTACGACGCGGGTTTCGATCAAGTCGCTTTTTTTACTCTTCGAACCATTTCTGCTGATGTTGCTGTTTTATTCTGTCCACTTCCTTGACTTATTTCGGGCTACGCTACCAGTATCACGGTAATGAGCGATGGTATAAGACACAATATAATGAGCTGTCACTGGAATAATTTTAACAGCTGTCGGACGAGTGGCTTAGAAATGACAGCAGTCTGAAGTTGGTTGCAGTTTTTCCATCTAACCCTGTATATTTATAAATATGTGTGGGTTCAATACGTGGATATTAATTAGGTCTTATTAAGACATTTATCAACTAAAGCTTCCACATTCAACATCCACAATCAAAATAAGTGGTTACACTTATCCATGATGTGGATAATGAGCTTTTCTCGAAAGTATAAGATATTTCGAATTCAAAAGCTTCGTTGTTTATCAATATCTTGGATAACTGCTGTGGATTCTATTCTATGATTTGAATATGCCTTTGTGGAATTTGGCTTTTTCAAGAAAAGTTTTCTCAACGTGAACGTGACAAACAAAAGCTTTTAAATGTTTATATTTCTAATGGCATAGATGGAGCAGAAGTTTTAAATTTAATTAAAAAAGTTCCTATCACAGATGAAAATGTAAAAGTTTATTTTAGAGAATCTCAAGCTTTGATATGTTAATATTTTACTTGTATGGCAATACTATTGCCGACAGATACCAAAGTTCTACTTTTTATACCCTCCGTATGTTCAGTATGGAGGGTATATTTACATTGCCATTTCGTATGTTACACATCGAAATAATAATTTTACACCCAACAAACTATCTATTCTAAGCCGATTTAACCGCTAGATTCGAAACGGCATATGATTGGAAGCTATTTTGCATAGAGTTGTCTGTTGTCTGCAGTCAGGTCAAGTTCGAAGACGAACAATATTGGTTAAAGTTTTCGTATTGCACCCATAAAATTGTACCCCCGCATATTCGGTATTTTGCCGATTTTAGCCACGCTTTGTTTACAATTCGGTATTTAGGGTTTACATTGGGTTCTACTTCCTGTGGGATAAATTTGTCCTTAAAGATCAACTTTTTTGTATAGTCCCATATTATACCTCCCCATATTCGGAATTTTAGCTACATTTTTAAACGGAATAATTTAAAATTTCGTATTTAGAGTTTGCATTGAGATCTGTTCCTTGTGTCATAATATTGTTTATATAGGTCCACTTTTTTCTATAGGCCCCATATTAAGGTATCTCTCGATATTCAATAGTTTTAGCCATACATTCTGGCGGAATAGTTTAAAATTCGGTATTTGGAGACAATAATATGTTCTAACTCCTGTGACAAAACAAAACTGTGGACAATTGTGTCTCGAGTATTTTGGAAAGCAAGGTTGGCACTAAAAAATATCAAAGTGTCGATCACCTCAAGCAAGCGCTTCGCCGGGAATGGGACAATATACCGCAGAGCAACATTCGGGCAGCCTGAGACGGTTTCATTGGCCGTTTGAAGGCCATAATTCGTGCCAAAGGTGACCAATTCGAGCATATCTAAATGTATTGTACGATTTGATGCTATTTCCGACTTTTTATACCCTCCACCATACTATGGGGGGTATATTAATTTTGTCATTCCGTTTGTAACTCCTCGAAATACTCATGTCAGGCCCAATAAAGTACATTTATTCTTGATCAGCGTAAAATTCTAAGACGATTTAGCCATGTCCGTCTGTCTGTCTGTGTGTCTGTCTCTCTGTCTGTCTGTTGTAATCTCTCTATCTTTCGAACAAATTGAGATAGAAGGCTAAAATTTTGCACACGCGTATATTATGCCAATAGGCAGGTTAAGTTCGTAAATGGGCCATGTAGGTCCAAGTTATCATATAGCCCCCTTATAACGGTACCTCCCGATATTCGGTATTTTGATGATTTTAGCGACATTATTCACCGGAATTGTTTCAAATTTGGTATTTGAAGATCGGAATAGATACTACAGCCTAAGACAGAAAATTATCTGTGCAGGGCCACGTCTTTGTGTAGCCCCCATATACCGTACCCCCCAATATTCGGTATTTTGATGTTTTTAGCGACATTATTTACCGGGATTGTTTCAAATTTCGCATGTGAAGTTTGTAATGGATACTTTAGCCCATGCCAGATAATTGTCTGTGCAGATCCTCGTCGTCGTATAGGCATTCGGTATTTTTAAGATTTTAACAGAATTTTTAACGGATTTTTTTTTTGAAAATTGTCAAATTTGTACCGAATGGTGGAGGGTATTAAAAGTTCGCCCCGGCCGAACTTACAGCTTTTTTACTTGTTTGCTTTCATTTGAGAAAATGAAAAAAAAAATATGGCGTTTGGCTATTTTGCAGTTTATTAGGGTCTATACGACGACGTGGATCTGCATAGACAACTTTTGTCACAAGCTATTACAATATTCAAATGCGAAACGTGAAAAAAATCTGTGTACAATATTGGCTAAAATTATCAAAATACCGAATAGATGGAGGTACCGTGGGGGTTATAAAACGTGGACCTGCACAGATAATTTTCTGTTATAGGCTGTAGCAGTCATTACGAACTTCAAATACAAAATTTTAAATAATTCCGGTAAATAATGTATCTAAAATCATGTGGGCTATACGAAGACGTGGACCTATCTGGCCCATTTTCTGTTTTATGCTGTAGTATATATTACGAACTTTAAATGCCGATTTTAAAACAATTCCGGTAAATAATGTCGCTAAAATCATCAAAATACCTAATATCGGGGCTACGCGAAGACGTGGACCTACATGGCCCATTTTCAATACCAAAAGTCCTGCAGATATAATACACATTTGAGTAAAATTTTATCAATCTACTTCATTTCGTTCGGAAGCTAGAGTGATTTCCACAGACGGATAGACGGACAGACCGACGGACATTGATAAATCGAATAGAATTTTATGCTGATCAAGAATATATACTTTGTGGAGTATAAAATGTATATTTCGAGGTGTTACAAACGGAATGACAAACTTAATATACCTTCTATACTATGGTGGAGGGTATACAAAAATATCGGATATTGAATCAATTAAAAATTTCGTTAATGAAATGTGCCAAATTTCCAGCATGTGTAGAGTATAATAATGTGGAGACAATACAAGTTATGGAGGAGCACATGCACACCAACCCCAACCTTTGTGGGGACTTCTGGGACTATGCCTAAGGATCGTGGCTCCGGCACCCTACTCTGATCATGTCGATACCATTGGGACCATGTCTAATTATTATGCAGATCGATTGATAGTTTTGCTAGAGATTTTAGAAAAATCTCATGGGGAGTTTCCGGAATTTTCAGGGATGACCCGAAAAATATGGCAATACTTGCCGGCCCGGTGCATTTCGCTTCTTTGGATTTTACATACATTCAAAATTTTGTTTCCAAATCATAACCGATTTCAAAATAATTTGGCAAATTTATTTGTAAACCAAATTCAGTAACTCTTTCCAAATTTCATTGGAATCGGGAAAAACACGCAATTTTTTTTCGTAACAAATTGGAATTTGTTTTACAAGTTTTTTTTGAAAATGTTCAAATATCTGAAGGTGTTTAAAATGAAAGATATATTTGTAGACAATTCCAAGAGGGGTGTTTTAATTGAAGGAATTTGAGATGGTGGATGGCATAATCTTGGCCTGTTTGAGTTCATATGGCTTGAATGGTATGCTCTTTAAGGCATTTGAATTGAATTCAATCGGGCTCTTGCCCCCATCCAGCTGTGAAAGCTTTATAACAGGGATATGGCCTGTAGATTTTTGTAATTATACCCATATATCATTTGATACGGCCAAAACGTGTCTCATCGAAATAATGGTTTTCTCTTTGGACCAAATCCGTTTCAGGACATATGGATTCGATCTAGCGATGTCTCTCCGTTTGTCTGTCTGTCTGGCACACGATAACTCTCGAAGGGAGTTTCCGATTCGGTCTTAACTTGGTACATCGTAATATTTTTGTCAAACGTAGATCGAGATCACAGATGGGCAATATCGGTCCATCTCTAATGTCAAAATTTTTAAAGAAAATAATTTTCTGCGTCGTAGGAGAAGGGATAATCCAATTTTGTTCTTACTTTGCCAATCTTAATATTTGCATCAGCGTTAGGTCAGGGGCGATAATGGACAATATCGGTCCACTCCATCAAGGTGAAAGTTTTGAATAATTATAATTCTTAAAAAATGTGATGTAAGTGTCCGATTATCTTCGAATTACACACATCACAATATTTTTTATGAACACAAGGTCTGGTGTGAAGAATGGAATATATCGGTCTACTGCTTCTGGTACCTCCCCACAAAGGGTCAAAATTTTGAATGTTCATGAAGCTCATAAAACACAAAATTAACATCCGATTCCATTCAGACTTGGCACATCTCATTATTTCTATCAACACAAGATCTATCATAAATATGGTAAAGATAGGACCATTACTTATGGTAACTCCCCCACAATGGGTTTGGTTTTGAATAACTAAAACGGTTATGAAATCCGCAATAAGCATCCGGTTATCTTCATACTTCACACACCCTCTTATTTGCACGTACACAAGATCTGCTGTTGATGTGCGATATATCGGACCATTACATCTGGTACCTCCACCTCAAAGGTTCATATTTTTGAATATTCATGAAGCTCATAAGACGCGGAATCAACTCCCGATTTCATTCAGTTTTGGCACATCTCAATATTTCTATCAACACAAGATATGTTATAAATATGGTAGAGATCGGACCAATATTTCTGGTACCTCCCCCGAATAGGGTTCAAGATTTTGAAAAATCTAACCCTGTAATGGATAATTTGGCTACCAATTTCTTGCCTACCAAAAAAGAGCATTTATTTCAAATTTCAACCAAACAACAATGTTTATTCTTCTCTCAAAACAATTTCCCCTAAATCTATTTCTATTTATTTCTGCACTCTCTTCTCTCAGCATGGATAATTCGGCTCAGTTGGCTCCCAATTTCTTGCGTACCCAAAAAGAGCATTTAATTCAAATTTTTTTTTTCTCTCAAAACAATTTCTCTTAAATCTATTTCTATTTATCTACACATGTATCTCTTTATCTCTTCCAAATTCTGCACTCTCCTCTCTCGCCTTCGTCTCTCTTCGTTTTGCATTTAAATATTCGTTTAAAATCGGCGATGTGTTGCACTGTCTCCCTCACTCGAACATTGTCCAAGTCATGGGCATGGCTGGGGGGTAGAGAGCCACAAAAGAATTGAGCGAAATTTAGGAAAAATAATTGCGGGTTGGTGAATGTAGAAGAGAGCTTCTTTTCCTTGTCGATTTTAGGAGAATAAACATCCCAAATCAATTGGAGACCATTGACATCGGCCAGGCGTTCGTTTAGTGATACTGTGGGTGAATTGTTGTCGGTCAGACATTCTAGGCTGTCTATGAATAGGGGATTTTGGGCAATTTGTTGACCCATTGGATTAGAGTTGCCGTGGTGATCATATTTTAGGCCACGCGGATCGAAAGCATGTGACAACTCATGGGCCATTATCCAACCGAGTATTGAGTGTTGCAGGAGAGGATGTTGCCGGTGATGATAAAAGGGGAGTTGTAGGAACACCATGGGTATGACGAGTTCATTACGCGGATGATTGAAGTAGGGAGCATTGCGTAGCGCTGCAATGTCATCATTGACATAGTAGAGGTGTGGGAGAGGAATGTGACTTGGATTTTCCTGGAGAGCAGCCTTGTGTTGTTGATAAAAACGAAACTTAAGCAACTGTAAATGGTTGTAGTAGAAATTATCCCTGGACAGCTGTAAGCCGGAGTGATAGTCATTGAGATCGGGTATGTGTTGGGGTAGATTGCCAATTTTCAGAGAGACTGCATTTAATTTCTCTTCTAAGTATCGCAATTCTGTGGGCGAGAGTTGAAATTTATTCTCTTGCAAATAGAGAGAGAACTGTTGTTTCAATTGTGCTAAAATTTCTTGAAGGACTCTCTCATCCTGTTGGCGATTTTCATAGAGAAAACGATCGTAGATATAGTTAACACCCAGCGGAAACATAACATTGGTGTGCAGCAGGCAGTGGCGAGGGCTAATCAAAGGTTTTACGCTGAACAAATGTTTGAGAAAACTCACCAGGATATACCAGGCAATGGTCGAGGAGTCCTTTTGCTTGAGGAAATTTCGTAAATCTTGGAAATATTCCAAGTTTGAGGGCACCTCCAGAATCAGGGTCTTGGGATCTAAGGGTTTTCCGGCAAGCCTATCAAAATACAATTGCCAATTCAAGCTCGGCTCAGCTCTGTTTAACTGCTGCAGAGTCAGGCTACTCATTTCATTGTTCGTATTTTCATAAATTTTGTAAAATGCCAGTAATTCCCGCTGCAGACCATATACGCTGTCCGTTAGCTTCCATAGCTCGTTGGGTGCAAAGGCCCGATTGAATTCAAATTCTTCAAAAATTTCATAAATTTCGTATTTATTGCGAAATTGTTTCTCTCCATTGGGAATTTTCAATTCCACCACCGGGACGCTGGAATCATTGGCTGCCAAGTTCACCGATTCCTTGAAGAACACGCCATTTAAACCAAATTGCCTTAAATAGGCCAAGGGTTGCAGCCAATCAAAATTATGCCATCCACCATCTGACACGCCATCAATTAAATCACCCCACTTGAAATTGTTGCCAAAAATGTCCTTCATTTTAAACTCCTTCAGATATTTGGACATTTTCAGAAAATATTCCCCGCTCGTGCGACACGATTCATAATACTGCCATATTTTGCGGGTCATCCCCGAAATGTCCCGTAACTCTCCATGGGATTTTTCTAAAGTCTCCAATAAATCTATCAATCGATCGGCATAATAATTGGTCATGGCCCCAATGGTATCGACATGATCATAATAGGGTGACTCGCGCCACGATCCACAGGCATGGTCCCAGAAGTCCCCACAAGGATCGGTGTTGTTGTACATATGCTCCTCCATAACTTGTATTGTCTCCACATTGATGTTCTCCACACAAGCTGGAAGTTTGCCACATTTTATCAACGAAACCCGATCCGCATGGCCGGTAGTGGCAAATAAGACATAAATGAAAAATGTTAATTGATTCAAAATCCGATATTTCATTTTAGCCAAATTTATTTTGTTTTTTTGTTGTTCTAATGCGGTGCTGAGTTGAAATTCGACTGAAAAGAAATCGTTAGAATGCAGAATTTCAAGTTCAACGAAATTGAGTGGTAGGGTTGCCAAGTTTTTTTTGGGATTCGTAGTAAATAAAAGAAATTAGACTAAAATAAAAAATATTAAGAAAACACAAAGTAGATGAAAATGAGCGGCAGGGTTGCCAAGTTATTTTTTAGGGATTCGTAGTAAATAAAAGAAATCATCCTAAAAAAAAATTAAAGAAAATAATCTGCAGATTATATAAGTAGAGCTAAAAATAAAAGACAAGTCCAAAGGCGTTTTGAACGTTTGAATCGCAAAGTAACCAAAATAGAGGGGGCAAATTGCCACATTTTCAAAATATTTCGAAATTTTCGTATTAAGATTCCTTGGAATCGATGTAGTCAATATTATTGAGAAGAGTACAGAGATTATTCTGGTCAAAAAAAAATATTAACACTCATACGAGTCATAAAAGTGGCCTTTTTGGTCCTTTTTTTAAAAATTTGTTTAAAAACACCAGCTAAACGAAATGGTAGCACATCAAAATATTATTCAAAATTATTTGTCATAAAATTCTACTGTAGGTCATACAGAAGACATAAATAGTCTTATTCTTAGCTAAATGCCAGACATTCATAAATACTACCAAACACATTTAAGGGTTAAAGCCGTATTTCATGTGAGTTTATGCAAAATTCTCCTGCAAAGCATCATTTTAGAAGGATGATTTCAAAGACAGAAATATTCTTCATCAAAATTTCACTGTACATGGTGAGATGAAAAAAACTAAAATCAATTTCAGACATCTGTGATTTCTAAGCCACTCGTCCGACAGCTGTTAAAATTATTCCAGTGACAGCTCATTATATTGTTTACAAACGTTCCAACGCATTTTGGTGAGAATTTTCCAGGAAAAAAAGTTATTCGTGATGGAAATCAAGCGTGATTGTGTGACTTCTTTATATTTGGCTGGAAAACCACAAGTGGCTATCGTTAGAGCACTCCAGCATATAGATGTGAATAAATCTTTTGTATCTCGTACCATCGCTCGTTGTCGGACCGTGATATTGGTAGCGTAGCTCGACATATGTCAAGGAAGTGGACGGAAAAAAACAGCAACATCAGCAGAAATGGTTCGAAAAGTAAGGAAGCGACTTGATCAAAACACGAGTCGCAGAGACCGAAAAATAGCTCGTGAGCTGAAAATATCGCAATATTCCGTTCAGCAAATATTGGAAAATGAGCTCGGGGTAAAGCCATTGAAATTCCAAAAAGTACAAGAACTTACACCGCAGCAGAGAGAAAATAGACTCCAAAGAGCTAAAGAGTTGCTTCGCTTGGCCGAAAGTGATGAACTGCCGAATTTGCTTGTCTCCGATGAGAAAACATTCGTTGTCCAGCAGTTTGTAAACAAACAAAATTATCGTGTTTACTTGCCAAAGAGGTCAGCTGAAAATGTGCACCTTCGGTTGGCCACCAGAACTCAAGCGCCGGCCATGGTGATGGTGTGGGCCGCCATAACAGCCGGTGGTCGCTCTCCGCTCGTATTAATCGACCGTGGCATCAGAGTAAATGCCGAATATTATCGCGAAAATAGTCTGGAGGGTGTATTAAAGCCTTGGGCACGCAAAAATTTTGGCAGCAGACCTTGGACATTCCAACAGGACTCAGTACCATCGATCGCACTCAGCACGCGCCACCCACGAATGGTTACAAAATGAGGTTCCTCGCTTCATTTCCAGCGCACAATGGTCACCAAAATCTCCGGATATCAATTCGTTGGTCTATTGTGTCTGGAGTATTTTGGAAAGCAAGGCTGGCACTAAAAAATACCCAAGTGTCGATTAGCTCAAGCAAGCTCGTCGCTTCGCCGAGAATGGACCAAAATACCGCAGAGCAACATTCGGGCAGCGTGTGATGGTTTCATTGGCCGTTTGAAGGCCATAATTCGTGCCAACGGTGACCAATTCGAACAAATCTACCCTTATTTTAAAATTTGATGCTATTTCCGACATTTTTGGCTTTCATTCAATGAAGTTTTATTAAAAAATGTAGAAATTATGGCGTATTATTTCGCTGCTTTTAATTAGGCCTATGAAAATTGGTTCATTAAATTATTTCAAGAGTCATTAGGTCGGTTCATTTTTAAATATAGTTTCTATATGAGGAACAGTGTTGGCTTGTTTGGTCGGGATAGCATAGTATTTTGCTATTGCAAAATGGTCAGGTTTAATCCCTTTATTGTTGTTTTTATAAAAACAACGTTTGTTTATTAGTAGAGAACGATGCTAATATTTGTCATGGGGTAAGGCAGGGAATACCAAGGGTTCGGAAAGAGCCAACGATGCTTTAAAAATAACCAAATACTTTTTATCCAAGTGGCGAGATCATAAGCTCAATAGAAGAGCTTATTTTATCTATGTTAGGATAAAATCCGTTTTCAAGTATTTTTTGCGTTTTTGTCATATTTTCCATTTGAATCTGGGCAAATTATTTAAGTATGGAATTCCTATTTTAAAACAAGTTAAAAAGCAGTAAGTCCGACCGGGCCGAACTTTGAATATCCTCCACCATTTGGAACAAATTTGGAAATTTTCAAAAAAAAAAAAATCCTTAAAAAATTCTGTTAAAATTTTAAAAATACCGAATATAGCCCTTATATTGGGGTCTATACGACGTGGACCTACATAGGAATTTTTTGTCATATGCCATTACCATATTCAAATTCGAAACTTGAAATAAACGGTGAATAATGTAGCTAAAATCATCAAAATATCGTATATAGGGAGGTACCGTTATATCGGAGCTGTGCAAAGACCTGGACCAGCATTGACAATTTTCTGTCACAGGCTATAGCATCCATTACGAACTTCAAATACGAAATCTCAAACAATTTCGGTGGGTATTGTACCTTAACTCGTCAAAATACCGAATATAGGGAGGTGCTGATATATGGGGCCTATACGAAGACTTGGACCTGCACCGACAAATTTCTGCCTTATGCTGCAGTATTCATTTCGAACTTCAAATACCAAATTTAAAACAATTGCGGTGAATAATGTCGCTAAAATCATCAAAAACCGAATATCGGGAGGTATCGTTATATGAGGGCTAAACGAAGGCGTGAACCTACATGGCCCATTTACAAAATTTTAGCCTTCTATCTCAACTTGTTCGAAAGATAGCGTGATTACAACAGACTGACGGACAGACAGACGGACAGGGCTAAATCGTCTTACAATTTTACGCTGATCAAGAATATATATACTTTGTTGGGTCTGACATGAGTATTTCGAGGAGCTACAGACGGAATGACAAAGTTAATATACCCTTCATAGTATGGTGGAGGTTATAAAAACGTATCTTGTAAAAAATGTTTAGTGCACGTCCACGTTTTGATACAAAACTTATATTAAATAATTTAATTTTTTTTTTTTTTTTGGAAAATAGTACCAAATGTTACTAAAATGCACTTTTTTCTAAGATTTTGGTGCCTAATTTTTTTTAATCCACGTTTATTGGGTCTTCAGGAAATCATAAAAAATAACTACTCGTATGCCCTTCCTTTGTAAATTATTTTCTCAACTTCTATCCGGGTTTTGAAAATTTGCACCGAAATTTATTTAAATAAAACATATTTTTTGACCATTTTCTCCTACTTATCTTATCAGACTTAAAACGGCAACCCTAATCATTTATCAAACACTTGAAAAAAACAAAAAAACAAACAAAAAAATTCCACTAACAAAAATTTTGATTTTGCAATTCATTCCCCCAATTTCGGCTATGCACAAATTAAGATCAACTCGAATTTGTCCAAAACGAAAAAAACAAATCAAGTTTAAAATATTAAAATTCATGACGTCACAACACCTGTGATCTGAAGATCTCAAGAGATCTTCTTCTTCTTCTACGTTTGATTCTCCATGACAGCCATTCAAATGTGTCTGGCTCATTTTAATTAATTAATTTGATTGTTTTAAAACAAACAATAATTTTTAGAGACCCTACGCTACAGACCGGTTTCCAGCAGGTGTTGGACATTGGTGACAAGTGTTAAATGGCACTGGAACATCTGTGTTAGAACAATCGAAGAAATTGATTATGTTGCGGTGGCTGTTTGAGGTTTTTTTTTCTCGAAAAACGAGAATTTTGCCCACAAAATTATTTCAAATAAAAAAAAAAATAAATAAATAAATTCAATTGAAAAAATATTTTAAAGCTATATTCACAAGGCGTTAAGTTCAGTAGCGTCTAATTTTACCCTCTACCATATTTATATAAAGAGTGAGATGAAAAAACTGCAACCAAATTCAGAATGCTGTCATTTCCAAGCCACTCGCCCGACAGCTGTTAAAATTATTCCAGTGATAGATTATTATACTGTTTACAAGCGTAAAAAAGCATTTTGGTGAGAATTTTCCAGGAAAAAAAATTATTCGTGATGGAATTCAAGCGTGATAGTGTGATTTCTTTATATTTGGCTGAAAAACCACAAGAGGCCATCGGTAGAGCACTCCAACATTTAAATGTGAATAAATCTTTCGTGTCGCATACCATCGCACGTTATAGTGATACTGGTAGCGTAGCCCGACGTCAAGAAAGTTGACTGAAGAAAACAGGAACATCAGCAGAAATGGTTCGAAAAGTAAAGAAGCGACTTTATCGAAATCCGAGTCGCAGTGGCCGAAAAATGGCTCGTTCGCTGAACATATCGCAATATTCCATTCGGCAAATATTAAAAATCGAGCTGGGGGTAAAGCCATTGAAATTCCAAAAGGTGCAAGAACTGCACCGCAACAGAAACGGACAGAAAGAAAATAGACTCAAAAGCGCTAAAGAGTTGCCTCGCTTGATGGTGAACTGCTGAATTTGTTTTTCTCCGATGAGAAAACATTCGTTGTCCAGCAGTTTGTAAACAAATAAATTGAACGTGTTTTCCTGCCAAAGAGGTCAGCTGAAAATGTACACCTTCGGTTGGCCACCAAAACTCAAGCTTCGGCTATGGTGATG